GAGGGGTGTGGATGGAGCGAGGGGATGTGGATGGAAGGAGGGGGTGTGGATAGAAGGAGGAAGTTGTGGATGGAAGGGTAGACAGCACCCCAGGAGGGAGGTGGTGTCTGACTTGGTGGGAGGCCAGGATCCCTGGAAGCTTAATTGTCTCCAGCACCCTCAGATAAAAGCTGGGGGGCATGCGGGGGGGGGATTCCTCCCTCACCTTCTTTTTTTAAATATATTTTTATTGATTTCAGAGAGGCAGGGAGAGAGGGAGAGAGATAGAAACATCAATGATGAGAGAAAAATCATTGATTGGCTGCCTCCTGCACGCCCCGCACTGGGGATCAAGCCCGCAAGCCGAGAATGTGCCCTGACCGGGAACTGAACCTCGACGCTCAACCACTGAGCCACGCCAGCCAGCATCTCCCCCACGTCCCACAGGCTACACCTGACTCTCAAAGGCCAGAAAGCCCAGCTCTGCCCTGGGGACGAAGTGGGCACCGGAAAGGCCGGCCCAGCTTGGGTCTCAAAGGGAGTAGGCAGGCCCGCTGCTCCCAGAAGCAGAGGAACCCCCATGTGACAAGGGAATTCTTTCTCTCTGGTCCCGTCTGGTCCGGCCATGCCCGTCTCATGCTGAGGTGAAGAGGGCGGATCTGGACGGCAGGTGGAAGCTGCCCCTGCAGTGCGGGTGCTGGCGGGTCCGAATGCTGGCGGTCGTGCAAGGCTGTCATCTCTTCACTTTGGACTATGACGGTTCATGCACAAAGCAAAGCTCCCAGCTCAGGGATGGGACACGTGCAGGGTGAGGCCTCACAGGACTCCATAGCACCTGCTGGCCCTTCAGACTCCTCTTCCTCCCCCGGGCCCTGCACAGAACCTGTCACTTGCTGGCACCACTAGGGCCATCGTCCACCTTCCTGGGGGCCACAGAGAAGTCCCTCCCCCTGGCCCGCCATGCCCCTCCCCTGATACTCCCTCCCTGTCAGGCAGCAGCTTCCCCTGCAGCCCAGGTCACCCTCCTCCCCCACCACACCATTCTCCAGGCCCAGCACTCACATCAGGGTAATAGTCCACTGTGGGGACCAGGTGCTCCATCAAGGCCTCCAGGGACCCAGAAATGAGGCGGCCATCCTGGAAGATGAGGTCCCCGGAGCCGCCGGCCCCACCTCCTCGCTCCCCCATGCCCGGCGGCACCTGTCCACTACAGCTGGGCCCAAGTACGCTGGAGCAGATGATGGACGTCTGGGGCATAGCTTCCTGCAAGAGAAGAACAGGACATAAGGCATCAAAGGAGCCTCTGCCAGGTCCCCCCTGGCCCTCCCGGTGAGTAGGGTGCCGTCGGACATCAGCTTGAGCCCTGGTCGGTGTGGCTCAGTTTTTTGAGCATCCTCCTGTGCACTGAGAGGTGCGGGCTCGATCGCTGGTCAGGGCAGGTGCAGGAGGCAGCCGATCTATGTTTCCCTCTCACAGTGATGTTTCGTTCTTTCTCTCTCCCTTCCTCACTCTCTAAGAATCAATTTAAAATCTTTTTTTTTTAAATCATAGACATCAGCTCAAGCGGACAGGTGTGCAGCCGCTAGGTGTCTTCAGCACCTGCTCCATGCACACCAGGCCTCACTCCAGGTGACGGGACACACAGCCGTGCCCCTGGGGTTAGACCGCACTGGCAGAAAAAAGCGATGCCCGTGCCTGGAGGAGAACATGAGCACGCGAGGTGGGGGTGGGTCAGGCCGCCTCGGGTAGGGGGGTTGGCACACACGGGTGGCGCCAGCTGTGCAGCTCTCTGGGATAAGAAAGGAACATTTGAAGCAGAGAGAGAGCAGGTGCAAGGTCCTGAGGCCAGTGTGTGTGGAGGGGATAAGCAGGTAGAATGGTCTGAAGAGGGACCAGCCGGGCCATGCACACGCCCAGGGCCAGAGGGCAGCCTGCTGTTTCTCCCGGACAAGTGGAATAGGGAAACTGAGACAGATACTTAACCAGCCCACCTGGTTAAGTTTCCAGCCACCTAGGAAATCCCAAAATCCTATCTCCCCTAAGCAAGGACACTTAAGAGTAGATGGCTGCCCCTTTCCTCTCAACCAGAGGGTAAATAGCTTAAACCACCCTACTCAGAGGGACAGAGAGCAGAAACCCAATTAGTGCCACTTGCCATGGACGGACAAAGTCAGGGGAATCAATCTCATTTTGGCTCATCAGATTAAAGCTGGTGAATATTCTACTGAGATCCTCCCCTCAATTCCCTAAATGCCCAGCCTTGATTTTTGTTATTATTTTTATTTTTTAAAATGTATTTTTGTTGATTTCAGAGAGAAAGGTAGAGAAAGATAGAAACATCAATTATGAGAATCATTGATTGGTTGCCTCCTGCACGCCCCCTAATGGGGATCGAGCCTGCAACCCCATGTGCCCTTGACTGGAATAGAACTGGGGACCCTTCAGTGCGCAGGCCAACGCTCTATCCACTGAGCCAAACCAGCTAAGGCAATGCCAGCCTTTAAAACCCTCCAGAGATGGACCCAGCAGGGCCTCTCCCTTTCCCTCCCTCCCTCCCCCCAGCATGTTACCTCTGCCTTCTCCCTCCTAAGCTCCAAGGGCCCTTCTACTACCTCTGCAACTTTCTAAATAAACTCTCTTAGAATTTGCCGAACTCAAGAACCGAGGTCCAAGGTCGCTGCCAACACCGCCAGCAACAGCAGAGGAGGAGGGGCCGACTTTGGACATTACAGAATGGCCTCGGCCCGGCGACTAACCAGCACGGGGAAAGCATGAGCGTGGGGTTGAGGAAAGATCTGGAATGTGCTTGGGGGCATGCTGGATTCGACATGCCTATTACACGTAGATGTCGGGCAGCAGCCCTGGGACTGGGTGCTCCCGTGCTGGGGCCGTCCCAGTGGCCTGGCCATGTGTGATGGAGCAGAGGGTCCCACCTCACGCCACTGTCCCCAGGGCTCTCAGGAGGCCTGGGAGAGTCAAGCCCTTGGACGGCAGTGTCCTCACTGCCCGAGGCAGCAGCCGCACCGGGAAGGGGCTCTCTGGGGATTTGCCAGCCTGAGGCCTTGAAGGCTAGCTCTCCCTCATGCTGCAGGTGTGGCCTAATCCCCGCCTCCGCCCCGCACACACACACTCACACACACACACACCTACACACACATCTACACACACACCCACACACACACACACATACACACACACACCTACACACACACATACATACACACATACACACACACATACACACACATACACACTCACACACACCTACACACACACACATACACACATACATACACATACATACACACACACTCTCACCTACCCCTACACACACACACTCACACACACACACCTACACACACACCTATACACACAACTACACACACACCTACACACACATCTACACACACACCCACACACACACACACATACACACACACACCTACACACACACATACATACACACATACACACACACATACATACACACGCATACACATCTACACACATACACACATACATACACACGCCTACACACACATACTCACACACATACCTACACACATACGCACACACCTATGCACACACACATACATACACACATACATACACACCCATACACAGACACACACACCTACACACTCACACTCACACACATACATACACACGCACACATACACATACATACATACACATCTACACACATACATACACACACTCTCACACACACATACACACACATACACACACACTCACACTCACACTCACACACCCTTGCTCAGACAGCCCCAACAGGGAGGGCAGGCGGGCTGAGGTCGGAGTGGAGGAGCCGGGCCTTCCTGCCTTGGTGGCGCCATGGTCAGGCTGCGCCCTGTCCGGTCACTGACAAGCAGGTGCCCTGCCCTAGTGCCTGCCTCCCCAGGCAGCCACGTGCCCTCCTCCTCCCGGGGCAGGGCTCCCTTGGCCCTCGGTGTGACCTTGCAATGATGCCACTGTCCCTCGCCCCAGCCGGCTCTCTGACCCAATGGGCTGAGCTCTGAGCCATGTGGCCTCAGCTTCTCTTCTGTGCAGAGCAAACCGTAGTCAAGATTATTTTCCTGCCATGAGAGGGCACAGGCTGCTGCCCTCCTAGGAGGGCACAAACAGAGCAAACTCCCTCCCAAAGCACATCAACTGAGCCTCCTGGCCAAACACCTGGAGGCGCCTTAGAATCCCCTGGGAACCCTTTGCCAGGAGGGCAGAGCTCAAGGCAAGTCCCGGCACACGGCAGGATGGAAGGCCCCGGCCCACGGAGGCTTCCCTCCAGGATGGGGGCCCGGACTCACAGAACATGTTACATGCACGCCCTCGGGCCCTGCGGCCTCCCGGGGTTCCGATGCCGGTTAGGCCAAGAACCGCTGACTAGAGCCATCCTGCATTTTTCAGATGTTGAAACAGAAGCTCAGTGGGGAGGAAGTTGGCCGAGGAAATCTTAGGGTCTCCAAGTCCAGTCCTGGTGTCACTACCTCCAGGAAGCCTCCCTGGGTTAATCCCTAGACTACAGGGTGCTTGAGGCTGAAAATGACCCTCACATCCTCTTGCCGGCTTGAGCCTGGCCCATGGTGCTCACTGGGATGAAATTTATTACTGGTTTGAATAACAGTTTGCTGAAATTTAAGTTTGTTGTTTGTGGGATGAAATAACAAAGGCGGGCTCCCCAGGCACCTCAGCAACCTCAACTGCTCTGTGGTGCCATCACTGCTTCCCGGGCCCCAGCACTCCACCTGAGGCCCATGGGCTGCGGGCAACTCCCCCAGATCACTTAGTTCTGGTTTCAGAAGGTGACCCATGGGTAGTTTCCTTGGTCAGTTGGTGCTTTTTGAGTCACTGGCCTCTCCCACTGTGGAAGCTGCAGACCCTCTGGTCAGGAGGTACCAGGGAAGGGGCACTATTGCCCCACTGACTCACACAGTCCCTGAGGTCCCTCACAGGGCAAGACCACCCTGGGTCCAGCCTGCAGGGGGCACAGTCTGGAGCTCTGAGTCAACACAACTTAGGTCAGAAGCTTTTTGTGGGGCCTCAGACAAAAAACTTTAGCTTCTGAGCATTTGCAACTGCCCTACATCATGCACACAGACACAGCGCACACAGCATGCACACTGCATACACACATGCACAACACACACAGCACACATACACAGTGTGTGTACACGCACAGCACACACAGCATTCACACTGCAGATACACATGCACAGCGCACACAGCAAACGTACACAGTGTGTATACACGCAGAGCACACACAGCATGCACACTGCATACACACATGCACAACACACGCAGCACACATACACAGTGTGTGTACACGCACAGCACACACAGCATGCACACTGCATATACACATGCACAGCACACACAGCAAACGTACACAGTGTGTATACACGCAGAGCACACACAGCATGCACACTGCATACACACATGCACAGCACACACAGCACACATACACAGTGTGTATACACGCACAGCACACACAGCATTCACACTGCAGATACACATGCACAGCGCACACAGCATGCACACTGCATATACACATGCACAGCGCACATACACAATGTGTATACATGCATAGCACACACAGCATGCACACAGTGCACAAGTGTATGCACAGTGTGCACACATACATAACACACATGGCATGCACAGTCCATGCACACATGTGTAATGCATGTGTGTGCACACCTGCTGAGGAGCACATTGCGCCAAAGCATGGGCAGCATGGAAGCCGCCTGGACTGAGGGCCCAGGGGGGAAGAGGTCAGCTCAGCGGGGCAGCCTGGGTCTGGAGACTTCTGAGCCTCTCAGGAGAGGGAGAGGAGGGATCTCAGGCAGCCCCAGTGCTGGGAGAGACCCTGGGAGAGGGGAAAGGAGAGTTTTAGGGGCTTTTTGCAGATGGTTACAAATGAAATTCCCTTTTGCAGCCTCTTCAAGAGACTTTAGCTTGAGACATAGGCCCACTCCCTGCTATGGTGCTTTCTCATGTGGTCTAAACAAACTAGGGCCTTGGGGGACCCATGCCTCTCCATCGGGCAGCAAAGGAGAGAGGAGCGTACCAGAGCCCTGCACACCCATGTGTACACAATTGTGGCCTGGGGCACCGCCCTAGTCCCAAACTCGGGTTGTGCCTGAGATGGCCTTCAGAGACAGACAGCCCCATCCATCATCCCAGGAGCCCCTGGTCCCAGGAGCTGCAGCTGTGGCAGAGGCCCAGGCCGGCTTCCCTCTGACAGC